TGGGTTGACAGGGAATGGGTATTTGTCTCATTTTTTCCCCCAGAAGTTAAAAAATATATGAAAGTGCCTCTAGATACTAAGTACTGTTTAAATATTTATACTGAACACCAGTGAACAGAATGTTAAAGAAAGTAAATTTGAAAACACTTGCTCCTTTTCTCTCAACTCCCAAATAAAGCTGTTGTGCAAAACCAGGGCTTTTAAGATACATTAAATTCCTACTCCTTACTATTTCAGTGGGACTGTGCCATGTTATTAACTAACCAGTGCTGGCAGACATTTCCCAGAGCAGAACACTAGTAAAAATTATTGCAAGGCTGTAAGATGCAACAGGGACACAAAACAGAAAACCTCCCAAAGAACTTCTTCAAATGCTTTTATCTTTGGTAACACCACAGTCTCCCAGTTTTCATCCTGACTCTGATCCTTTTTTGATGTCCTTTGCCCACTTCCTCTTCTACATCTCCAAATGTTAGCATTTGTGGGTAGGGATAAGAGTAGCATGTCAGTCCTGAGCCCTCTTCTCATTCCACACTCTCCTCTAGGCAATTCTATCCATTCCTACGGCTTTAAATACTTACCATGATAAATGCTCATCACTCTAAAATTTATATATATCTTTTGAATTTCAAATCTGGATATCCAACTACTTGCTTAATATTGCCATACAAATGAATCACAGGCATCTTGAACTTAACCATTCCAAAATCGAACCTGCTAATTTCCTCTTCCCCAAATCTGTTCTTCCCTAAGCAATTTACTACTGCCCCCATTGTATGGCTGTGAGCATAACTGACGCCATTTTGGGCCCTTAGAGCTTCTCGCGTCCTTTTGCTGACCCAACCCAGGACTGTACCGTACAGTAAATCACTTCTCTGTTGTCACGGGCTTTGCAGATAATAGATATTGTTTAATAATCATCAGGACCCAGTAGCCCCTATGCTCTGTTAGTCCCCAAACAATGATGAAAACCTTCGCTGACATATATTCCTGGCGCCCATGAGACTAGTACCCACTCATAAATCTTGACTTAGGAATGCACGTCCTGTTTCCAAGTACCTGCTGCCCCCACCCCATAAACCCCAGACCCTAGGTTAACTGTAGAATTGTCCCAGTGGCCCACTGGGCGGTGCAGAGTGCAGCTGCGAATGCTTCAAGTTGTTGTCTGTCTAATCCCACCCTGACAGTAAGTTACCCTATAATAAACTGATCCATTGATTATATGGAGCTACCTGCCTCCTTTTTTGGTCTCAAGATGCCTTCTCAGTTTAATGAGTACTTTTTGTTCCCTCCACCCTCCATCACCCATCCACTCAGTTGTGCAAACCAGAACTAGAAGCCATCCTTGATAACTCCCCCTCACTCCCTCCCAAAATGAAAGCCATTATCAGGTCTTATTGATTCTGCCTCCAAACTGTATCTTAGATCCATCCAATTGTCTTCAGATCCACTGACATCTCTCTAGTCCAAGCCACCTGGACAATTGCAGTAATCTAGCAGGCTTCTTTACTTTGTCCTTGATCCCCTGCAATCCACTCTAAACACAGTAGCCAGTGTGATTTTTTTTTAAGTTGCAAACCACTCTGTGTTTTCTGTATTCCATGTCAATAATCATAATACGAACTAACAAATATAAGACAAAAGAAATCTGAGGCTTATAAACCCCGGATAATGTTGAGAATGTTTACTGTCAGTGCGAACCGGTTTTCTCTATCTTTAAGCTGAGAGCCATCTTTTAAAAAACGTAAATGAAATCATTTCACTCCCCTACTTAAAATCTTTCAATAGCTTCTTACTGCTCTTAAGGTAGAAATCCTTTTGAGGACTTCTTTCTCAGCCCCTGCATCATCTGGCCCCTTTCTAACTCTCCAAGTTTACTGCAAGGCACTCTTCCGGAACCCTTGCTCACTGTGGTCAAGCCACTTGGCTTTCTTTTAGTTCTAACATACCAAGCTCTTCCCAGGTACCATTTCCTTTGTCTGGAATGCTCTTCCTTCTGACTCTCTAAGTAACTAAATAACTTATCCTTCAGGTTTTAGTTTTAAAATTCCTTCCCTGACACCACAATTGAAGTTAAATACCCCTATTGTTTCTCATCATAACTTTTTTTTTTTTAATTTTTTTAGCGTTACGTGGGCCTCTCACTGTTGTGGCCTCTCCCGTTGCGGAGCACAGGCTCCGGACGCGCAGGCTCAGCGGCCATGGCTCACGGGCCCAGCCGCTCCGCGGCATGTGGGATCCTCCCGGAACGGGGCACGAACTCGTGTCCCCTGCATCGGCAGGCGGACTTTCAACCACTGCGCCACCAGGGAAGCCCATAACTTTTATTTTTTATTCAAAGCATTTGCCACATTTGTAACCATGTATTTGTGTCATTTTTGCTTAATGTCTGCCTCCCCTGCTACAGTATACGGTCCACAAGGGCAGGGACCATGCCGATGCTATTCACTGCAGAAGCCCCAGTGCCTGGCTCAGAGTAGCTACACAATAAATATTTATCCAGTAAATGAATGAATCCTTGCATAGAAATGGTGTTAGAGAAAGCAAACAAATCCATAAAAGTTCTGCTGATCAGCTGAGTGTTCAAACACTGAACTGAAGTTGCGGGGCTCCCCAATTTTCGCTTAAAAAGACTTTCTTGGCAAATTTTAATTTTATAGAACCACTGTTTTATACAAAAGGCTTTTTTCTTCCATTGAACCAAGGACTGGAAATAAGACTAAGGAAGTCTATACATGAGGAGAGGGCTTAAATAACCACATATTGTTCTTAGTGGGCCTAGGATCCCAATACAGAAATAGCAAGCAAGTTCTGGCCTTCTGTTTCCTCTATCAAACCTTCTTGTGACTGCAACTGGAAAGCTTATATCTATTTTAACCATGTATACATGTGTACATTTGTACATACACATGCAGAGGATCTAAAGCAGTTCATTTTAAATCATAGATTTTGCAGCTGGGCTACTATTTCCTTCTCCTGTCATTTATATCAGGCAATATTTCATAAAATGACAACCTCCTGTAGCTAGAAGGATCCTTAGAGATTACCTAGCCCCACGTACTCATTTTGTAGATGGGGAAACAAAGATCCCAGAGACTGATATTAAGGGTTTCTCTGAATATTCTTCTTTATGCAGATTTGACTGGCTCTTTATAATGTAATCCCTATATTTCATTGATTATTGCTGTAGGCTTTATACTAGAAATATTCTGTATAATCAAGAATGCTGGTGACTTTGGATAGGCTGCTGGGATCTTAGTGTCAATCCCAAATTCAGTAAAACTCAGAAAACTGAATCAAATCCCTCAATCTGAAAGGTGATGCATTCTAATTTGATGGGATGCCTAATTACAAAATAATTGGTGAAGCCCAGGTGACACTACCATCACTCAGCTAAGCAGGAGGATCTGTAGCACAGCTGACGGCTTATAGCCTACAATCAAGATGATTTTTCATTGCTGGCAGCTGCATGTTTAATTGGTCCTCCAGCTAAGGCTGCCCTGAAAGGTTCTGCAATGGGGTGAACCCACCTTTCTTGCAGCATCCATGGATATTCAGGAGATTAATATTCATCCACTCGCAACAGGGAAGGCATACTATGAAGAAGGCACTGTTTTGGGTCCCGGGGATGGTGTAAAATCAAAACCACCTCCTCAGTCAGTAACCCCTGACTGTATCTGACTAAACTTCTAACTCCCTCACTGCTTACCAGCGACCAAATGACAGGACAGTGAACTGTAGAAAGCTGCCACTCTCAAAATCCTTTGACTAAGAAAGCTCAAGGATAGGAAACCTGGGAAGAGGGTTCACAACACATTCTGTTTTCTAACATCAGGAATCTCAAAATCCTGGAGCTAAGAGAGACCCAGGAGGACATCAGCCCAATTCTTATTTTATGGATTAAGAAACAAGAGGTCCAAGAAAGGAAAAGTGACTGCTTCAGGGTACCAAGTTTGACAAGATGACTAAAATGCCTCTTTTTCATAAATATTATTGTGCCTTATTAGGCTTTTAAAAACACACATTTGTATTAAAAAACTGTTATTCACACATCTATATATGGCTTTCCTCCAACCCGCCTTGGTGAATTCTTTCAACTAACCAACATATCTATTTGAAAGGGAAAGGGTAGGGGGGCTTCCCTGGTGGCTCAGTGGTTAAGAATCCGCCTGGCAATGCAGGAGACACGAGCCCTGGTCCGGGAAGATCCCACATGCTGTGGAGCAACTGGGCCCCTGTGCCACAGCTACTGAGCCTGCGCTCTAGAGCCCGCAAGCCACAACTACTGAGCCCATGTGCCACAACTACTGAAGCCTGTGCGCCTAGAGCCCGTGCTCCACAACAAGAGAAGCCACCACAATGAGAAGCCTGCGCACCACAATGAAGAGTAGCCCCCGCTCGCCGCAACTAGAGAAAGCCCGTGAGCAGCAACAAAGACCCAACGCAGCCATAAACAAATAAATAGATAGATAGACAGATAGATAGAAAGAGAAAGGGGGGGAGCATATTGATAGTAATTGAAATCTTCTATGTTTGGTGCGTTGAATGGATTACCTCATTTTATTCTCACAACCCTCATAGGGTTCTCTTCTGCCTTAACAAATGAAACTGGAGCCTCAGGACATTTAACTGTCTCAGAGTGGTTAAAAATTACTCCAGGTCTCACTCCAAAGTCCACATTCTAGCCTCTACCTGACTGCTGACATCACCGATGAATAAGCAGCCTCTTGATTTAGGAAAGAACATGCTTACTGTAAAATTCAAAAGCAGAATCACCCTTTCTTGTTAATAATCTTTTTCAAAATGTAAGCCAAAAACTGTTTACATCCCTGTTTTCTTTGGGTTTTGCTTATGTCTGAAATAAAAACAATGAGAGAGCCTGAATTATTAAGTTTTTCAGCAGATAAAAACACATTTTCCCCATAAACTCAATAAAAAGACCAGAGAAGCCCAGACACCCCAAAGGGAACCAAAGAAAGAACAATCTGTGCCCTTTCTAATCACCACCAAGTCAGAGAACTTGTAAATCTCACTTTACTCTCCAGATCCTTCCCCAACAATATGAGCAACAATTACCTCATTTGAATTTAATCCATCAACTGCAGCCAGAGGCACTTTCCCATGCAGCACTGTGCCAGTCACCTCTTTCATTCCAAATGCTGGGGAATCAAGGTCCTCCTTGATCCACATTCCAGCAGGGGAAGCCTCCTCTAGAACAGGACTTCCTTCTTCTAAGACAGGCACTGAGTCAGTATGGGCAGTATCTCCCTGGAAGGGTACGCCAGCAGGGAACACTTCCTCCACAGCAGGCACTGCAGCAGCCGGGGCGGCAGGCTCCCCTGGGGTGGGCACTGCAGCAGTAGGGGCAGCAGGCTCCCCTGGGATGGGTACTGCAGCAGCTGGGGCGGCAGGCTCCTCAGGGGTGGACACTGCAGCAGCTAGGGCTGCAAACTCCCCTTGGGTAGGCACTGCAGCAGCTGGGGCTGCAGACTCCTCTGGGGTGGACACTGCAGCAGCCAGGGCTACAAACTCCCCTGGGGTGGGCACTGCAGCAGCTGGGGTGGCAGGCTCCTCTGGGGTGGGCACCACAGTAGTGGGAGGTGCAGGCTCCCCTGGGGTGGGCACTGCAGCAGCTGGGGCGGCAGGCTCCCCTGGGGTGGGCACTGCAGCAACTGGGGCGGCAGGCTCCCCTGGGGTGGGCACTGCAGCAACTGGGGTGGCAGGCTCCCCTGGGGTGGGCACTGCAGTAGCTGGGGCGGCAGCCTCCCCTGGGGTGGGCACTGCAGCAGCTGGGGTGGCAGCCTTCCCTGGGGTGGGCATTGCAGCAGCTGGGGCGGCAGGCTCCCCCGGGGTGGGTACTGCAGGAGCTGGGGCTGCAGGCTCCCCTGGGGTGGGTACTGCAGGAGCTGGGGCTGCAGGCTCCCCTGGGGTGGGCACTGCAGCAGCTGGGGCGGCAGGCTCCACTGGGGTGGACACTGCAGCAGCAGGTGCGGCAGGCTCCACTGGGGTGGGCACTGCAGCAGCGGGGGTGGCAGGCTCCCCTGGGGTGGGCACTGCAGCAGCGGGGGTGGCAGGCTCCCCTGGGGTGGGCACTGCAGCAGCTGGGGCTGCAAGCTCCCCTGGGGTGGGCACTGCAGCAGCTGGGGCAGCAGGCTCCTCTGGGGTGGACACTGCAGCAGCCAGGGCTGCAAACTCCCCTGGGGTGGGCACTGCAGCAGCTGGGGCTGCAGCCTCCTCTGGGGTGGACACTGCAGCAGCTAGGGCTGCAAACTCCCCTGGGGTGGGCACTGCAGCAACTGGGGCGGCAGCCTCCTCTGGGGTGGGCACCACAGTAGTGGGAGCTGCAGGCTCCTCTTGGGTGGGCACTGCAGCAGCTGGGGCAGCAGGCTGTTCTGGGGTGGGCACCACAGTAGTGGGAGCTGCAAGCTCCCCTGTGGTGGGCACCGCAGCAGCTGGGGCTGCAGCCTCCTCTGGGGTGGGCACTGCAACAGCTGGAGCAGTCCCCTCCAGGGAGGATTCTGCAACAGCTAGTACATCCTCCTCTGTGATGGCCACTGAAGCAGGTGGAGCAGTCCCCTCAGGAGCAGGCACTGCAACAGCTGGGGCAGCAGCCCTCTCTGTGGCTGATACTGCAGCAGCTGGGACATGTGCCTCCATGATGGCCACTGGAACAACAGGTACATCCTCTGGGAAGGGCACTGTAAGAGCAGCTCTAGCAGTTCCCTCTGGGGCAGGCACTGCAGCATCTAGGGCATCTTCTTCTACAGTGGGCACTGCAGCAGTTGGGTCAGGCTTCTGTGGGATGGGCATCCATTCCTCCAAAACTGGTTCCGTATTACTAGCCTTGGTAACTTGTTCCTCCAGAAGGATATTTAGCAATGAATCTGAATCTCTCATTTCTGTTTCCCCTCCCTCCAATGAGGCCACATTCAGCTTGGGCTTTATGTGATTCACAGTTTCCACTCCATCTCTGCTATGTCCCAGTCCTCCAACCTGCAGGTGCAGACTCAGGATCTCTGACTCTGGGGACTTCCTCTGGAGATCCTGGGAGACCCACTCTGGGAGGTCTCCAGGAAGATGTGCTGGGGCTCGGTCCTTCAGCCTGGCATCATAACCCAGTGCCTGTGCTTCACCATCCTCATCACAAGCTCCTTCCACGGACAACAATTCACAAAGGTCCACATCTCCCAAGGAAGTCAGACTGTTATTTCCTTGATTAATAGCTCCTTTCTCACCTTCCCAATGAATCTCATCTGTTAGTAAATGTGAATCATATGGTAACGCCTCTACTTCAGATCCTGAGGTAACATCTATTAGTTCATAGCTAACAGCAGAACTGAGGGAGACTCTCTCCACACACTCCTCAGCATTCCCCTCAACTTCACTACAGTCCAGCTGGGACAAACTGCCATTTTCTTTGGCCAGCTTGGCTTCAAAGCCTGATACATTTTCTTCATGAGAAGCCCTGTGATCAGAGTTGGACAATCCTCCTGGGTCGGGCTTTCCTGGTGACTCCAGATCAGCTGGGTGTCTAAAGTTAAATTCCCCTGAAGTCTCGGGGCTAAAAGGCACTTTTTCACCCTCCTCCTCACTAACAGTGAAAGCGTCCCTCACGGTATCAGAGTAGGCAGTAAGTTCCAAAGTACTAGGCACCTGAGAAGAATCCAGGGCATTAAAATAGTCACAATCCAACCCAGGATCAGAGTCCTTTGCTCTTACCTTTAAAAGGCCTACATGCTCCTTTTCTAAGGCAGCCCCTGGAAAATGACTAATTACAAGTGAATTTTCTGCATCCTGGGATGGGGCCAGCCCTTCAGAAGAGGCTTGAGTCTCCAGCTCAACTAAAGGAGTTACTCCTTCTTCACATAAACACTCCTTTTCAAGTTCAAGAAACATCTGCACTGAATCTGTGTCAGAGAGCTGTTCTGAATCGGCAGGACCAACAGTGCATTCTAAATCTGAAACAAGACCCTCTAGCCCCTGAGCAATTCTGTTTCTCAGTTCTCCTACAGCACTCTCACCTGTTAGGACACAACTGTAATCGAGCGATGCATCCTTGAAAACAGACGCCAAAAGGTTCTTAGCTGGCTGTGGGTCATCAGAACAACAGATCTGACCAAGAGCTAGGTGGTCAAAAGTCCCCAAGACAGCAGCTGAGAAGTCGGCTCCATCCTCCACCACTGCTACAGTGTTTGCTTGCTCTCTTTCTTCGAAAACATCTGCCAGGCTGTTCTTTTCCTCATCTGCCATTAGAAAAGTCTTTCCTCTCTCTGACAGTTTCTCTTCCTCCCAATCCTCCTCAGCCTCCATCATGATCCATCGCTCATCCTCCTCAAACTTTAGCTCAGACTCTGTTTTCTCTCTCAGGCTGGGGGTTATGAGAATACGCAACTCTGGATCCAACAGCTCTTCACTCAGACAAGGGGAGAGAGGTGGCATTTCTACAGTGCAACCTGTGTCCTGAAGAGGGTGCTGCTTCTCGCCAAAGCCTCCCTTAGCCAAACATTTCATGGCTCTGGGCCAGGTTGCACTCGAGAATCTGTGTTCCTGCATTACATCTGTGTTACCACTTGCTGCTGCAGCTTCTGACTCCAGAGGCTGGAATTCACTGGGAGAGATCTCACTGTGCTGCTGAAATCTGAAGTCTTGGCAATCTCCACCTAAAGTTTTCACATCCTGTCCTTCTGGAATACCTATGGATTTGGACACATGTTCCAGAGTTACGGACTCTGACTGAGGTTCCCTGTGGTCCAAATGACCAGAACTTTCTGTTAATGCAGAACTGGATTCCTTCTTCTCTTGCAAGCAAGGATTTGAAGCACCAGCTTCGGAAACCTCACTGAGAGAAGCTTCCATCCTTTCTGCAAATTCTGGGAAATTCGGTGGCATGAAGGACTTCCATGATCTCCTGTTAACATTGTCTTTGCGTTCTGCATTTGGCCGCCTTCTGGGTGGCACAGGTGCTGACTTCTGCACATCACTGCTTAGCTTTAGTGCATCAAATATTATTCTCTCATCCAACTTTTTGCCTTCTGGTGCTCTGGATTCAAAAACATTAGCTGCTGCTCCTAATGTACCATTGCTGGATATAGTACTTCCTTCTATCTTTTCCATGGTGCTTTTTGAAGTCTGATTAAGCTTTGACCCCTGGTCAATTTGTTCATTTATCCTCATTGTATCATATATAGATCGCTGTGGAACATAGCAATCCTCTATATAGCCATCCTCTTCCTCTCCTTTCCCCAGGCAGATGGGGTTCTGCCTTAAACAGTCTGGCCTGCTGAGTGGCTTACCCATATTTTTCAAACAAGATGAACCGTCAACCTTTAAAAAGTTGCTCACGGGTTCCCCCAAAATGCATTCTGCATAAGTTAAAAATCCTTTTACATGTTCGTAACCTCAAACCACCAATTGGAACTTCCCTCCAGAAAGGCCTGGAAGTCCCACTTTGAAACCATTCTGAGAGACACTCTAAGAAGAACAGCTTTTTCTTCACAGGTTAGCAGCCTCATAGTTGCAGGCAAATAAATGGTACAATGTATTCAACAAACAAAATAATTCCTTCTATGGCTTTTTTGTTTTTTTAAGAGCACTGCTCTTTCCAATTCAGTTAAAAAAAAATCATCTGATATTGACAAGTCTTATTCAATATCTAGTTCCACTCACTTCTCACCCAAGCAGAGTTGGAAGCAGAGGATTTATATCGATTGTGTCCTTTAATAACAATGGCACAGCCCCTCTGGTCTTCAAGTATGGCCCAAGCTCCTAGGAATTCCTTTCATTTTATCCTTAGTTCCAGCCCTGGAGAGTCCAGCTGGTCTGAATTAGCCATTCGTCCTCCCTAGTTCGGGTGTTTGCATTTGAACTGGGCTGGTCGGCGGATATTCCTGCAACTTTAAACACAGGAAGTCCTTCATTCGCGGCCAGCTTGGGGCTTCCTGTCTCCAAAACATCATGGCATTGTTGTGGCTCCCAGAACAGCCCTGCGCCGTGGCCGCCAAACAAGGCGAGTGGAGCCCGGCGCCGGGCCTTTCAGAGGCCGGCAGGCTGCAGCGGCGGCCGAGGGTCACTCGAAAGGGCTCGCTCAGCGCTGCTCCCCCGCGCCCTGCCGCGCGCCCCGAGGGCCAGGGTTGCCTCACCGCAGGCTGGCAGGTGGCTCCCGGCCGCGCCGGCCTCCGGTCCCGCGCTCAGGAAGTTAGTTTGTCCCTCCGGCAGCTGAGTCCCGCGTGCTGTGGGCACCGCCTCCCCCGCCGCCTCCAGTCCCCGGCCCGCAGCCACCGCGCCGCGGGCTGCATGTCAAGCAGCCGCCTCTATTCTCCGCCGCCGCCGGCCCCGCCGTCCTCCCCGCCCGCAGCTGTCACGGTCCCGGCATGCAAACTTCTGGCTGGGAACAAAAGGCTCCTCTCGGGCCGAGCGGGGGCGAGCCCTCCTCCCTCGCGCCGCGCGGCCCGCTCGCCCGCCGCTCGCTGGAAGTGCTCGGCTGGCGGGCGGCTCTCCTCCCCGTCCCCGCGCCGCCCCGCCCGGGCAGCCCCCCTGGACGCCGGGGAGCGCGACGCGGACAGCTAGGGGAGGAGGGCAGGGGCGGAGCCGCGACGGAGAGCTGCCCGAGCGGGAGGGAGGGAGCGGCGGAGGCGATTGGAAGCCGAGGCACCGAAGGAGGGGCTTCTGCGCGGCTCCGTGCGACGGAGCCCGGCGCCGGCCGCTCAGCTTACAGGTCCACACCCACCGCGCCCCGCCGGGCCGGAGGGAGAGCCCCGCCCCCCGAGAGGGCGAGGGGCGGGGAGCGACACCCGCGTGAGTCTCGGCCGCGCCGCGCAAATCCCCTGACAAAGGAAAGCCCCGCCCTCCTGCCGCGGGCCGGGCCCCCGCTGCCCCCGCCGCGTACCAACCCGCCGGGCTCCTAGCCCAAGGGCGAGCGAACCCAGAAGGGGCGTTCCCGCCGCCCCCCAGCCAGCCGGCTCTGGCGAGGGCCACTCTGGGCCCCATCTGCCGGCAGGGTAGCGATGCCGCCCGCATCGCTCCCGGATTCGGCTCTGCCGCCAAAGGGGTGTCCCTAGTCCCTCCAATGTCACCTTTAGCGCGCCTCTGCCGGGCCCAAGAACACTCCAGGCTGAAACCTGGCACTTAAATTCGGACCAAGTTATTGGATAAACTCCAGCACCTTCTCTCTTCAGCTCCTCACGTAGGTCAGGTCTTGTTCCATTCCCCAACCAAGGCTTTGCCCACAGATGTGAATGGTGCTGATGACTGAGGAGTAGGGAATTGGGGGGCCGCGTGACGGCGGAGATGCTGGCAGCAGTGCCCCACGCCCAAATACCTGGGCTCCTTTATTGCTGGGTACATCCAAGGAAACGTGAGCTCCCTGGGGCCAGCTAAAAAGCATGGGTATTTCAAGTCTCAAGATGGAAAATACTAAAGAAAAGTGGCCCACAATCCCGTCCACAGCTTTCTGGCTTTTAGAAAAGCCATCTAGGACTTTCCTGGTGGCGCAATGGTTAAGAATCTGCCTGCCAATGCAGGGAACACGGGTTCGAGCCCTCGTCCGGAAAGATCCCACACGCCGCGCAGCAACTAAGCCCGTGCGTCAGAACTACTGAGCCTGCGCTCTAGAGCCCGCAAGCCACCACCCGGCGAGCCACAACTACTGATGCCCGTCCGCCTAGAGCCCGTGCTCCACAAGAGAAGCCACTGCAATGAGAAGCCCACACACCGCAACGAAGAGTAGTCCCTGCTCTCCACAACTAGAGAAAGCCTGTGCGCAGCAACGAAGACCCAAAGTCGCCAAAAATAAATAAATAAATTTATAAAAAGAAAAGCCATCTAGTCATCTGGTGACTGTTAAACAAAGAAAGTACAAAGGGCAACCCACGAAAATGTCCACCAGAGGCAGCTGCATATCTGAAGGGGTGTAATATGCTGCTCCCTTTGTGATGGTCATTTTCTGATTTTATGAAGGAAAAAAAGTCTATTAAAATTACTGAATTGATCAAGTGGTCAATACAGATGGTAAAACTTACGGAAAAGTTATTTCTGTCCTTTACACAGACAGTAAGTGAAGCCAATAGCTGGTGTATGGAGATCTGGCAATGAAACCCTGAGCTGAGCCTTAGGCTTACTTGAGCCAGAGAGGTCCTTGACAAAAATGAGGTGTCAGCTGAAGCCTGTGATCAGAATTAAGCAGCCAAAAGACTGGCAAAATGTCTTACACTTCATTTCTCACTTTGAAGCTGATCAATTTCTGCCTACTCAAATCCAGAAGACTCTTATCTGTAACTGAAAGGGAGGATGTGCAGACTAGGTTGTGTCTTGACAGCCTTTCTAACTTGAATATTCTTTAGTTCTAAAACTGTTAAAGGAGCTGCCCCGGAATCCTGAGTCCTCCTGGTCCTATACTGCAAGACACTAGAAACACTGTCCTCTGAGGAACAAACAGCAGAAAGAACCAAGAATGCTTGACCTAGAGAAGTTTCCAAGCAATATGATGAAGTAACTAAAGGGCTGGGAAGTGGGAGGAAGGAAGCTTGTTCTGGATGTCTACTGAAGCTGGCACACTAAGATCCAAGGGCAGATTTCAAACCAACAAAGAGCTTTCTCACAGCTATTCAAAGAATAGGGTGTCCCCTAAAGGGATGACTTTTCTGACCCTGGAGGTGTCTGAGCAGAAATTCAAGCAATCACTTGGCAGAGATTTGGGGAACAAGATTTACAATTCCTCTAACAGTTTGTTCAAGATGAATTTTAAGGTCCCTTCAAACTCTAACACAATGTGCCTGGAAGGCTTGATAAGCTTACAGATCTGATACTTTACGTTTCAGGGAATCTGGGTTTTAATTTTCCTTTAATTATTAAGTACAACTGGAAAAACCCAGGGAAGGCAAGATCAATTTCACTAGCAAATCTCCCTGGCCAAATACACTCACTTATGTGTTGAGATATCATAACAGACTGTTTAGTGTGACAGGGGCCCTCTGGTTGGAAGAATCTGAGCAATTCTGGCTCTGGACTAAGGGTGGGTGGTTATTCTATTATAAAGAATGATGTTGATGTGGATTCACAAACTTCATGGCCAGAAATTCCTTTCCTGTTTCCTCACCAAGGCAGGTGCCAGTCAATTCAGTCTTTTCTTAATCCCTCCCCACACCTATCTACCTTATTCTCACCACTGTCGCCAATGCTCCATATTATAATACAAATAAATAAGTGGAGCATTTTAGCAACTATGAAGTTCAGATTCAAATTACTTATCAGCTTAAGTCACACTCTCTGACTAGCGTATTAGGAGACCATTACAGATAAATCTCCCCCAAATTCAAACACAGCCCAAAATTCAAACACAGCCTTGTGGAAAGTACTACATAAAGTTGGCCAATTATCCCGCCCCCCACCCCCGCAAAAAGTGCTTCGCTCCTTGTGTAAAATCATCAGTTTGTGTTTAGAAGGAAAGGAGGCACAAAGTCTCTTCCTCCATGTCTTTTTTTTTTTTTTTAAATCTGTTCATGAGTTTCTCCTTAGTTTTGGTATGTGGAACTCTGCCAATAGCCATCTCAGTGACTGAAATAAATACCTGATACAGCTTTCAACTTCTTGTTACCCTGACAGCTCCAACAAAAAAAAAGCATCTGTTCATTTCACATGCTGTGTGTAAACTTTTAAAAAGAGAAGTACAGGGAGCACCCCTTTGGATGCTTCCCCCATTCCTATAACACAAATATCTGTGCTGATGCCAAATTTCAAATTAGTTTCCACTTAGTTGATTACAGAGTTCAAAGAATTCTCTACTCATTTCAAAATTCCTAAGAACAGAATTGGTGTCAGATTTTCCTTTGGTGAACTTGGAAGAAAGAACAATCCTGGCCTTTCCTGCTGTCTCCTAATTAAAACAGCAAGGTGGAGTCTCCTCACACCCTAACACAGCTCCCTTTCCAAGTTTTGGACTTGGCACTTTGCCTTTGTCTGCTCCAGACTTTTAAACCACCAGCCTCCTAGGAAAATCTGGAGACCCTAAATCCACACTTCCTCAGATTCTATACTGCCTTTTCATCCACCTCTCTCCCTTGGAGGATTAGTGCTGACTAGAGGAGGGGACAGAAGACTGGTTGGATCTTGCACATTTAAAATTTACAAAATGCCTTTCATCTTACGATCTCTAGACTTCACAAGCGTTTATTTAGTGGCAAGTGGAAATTCCACAGTATTCGTCTGAACCTGTTGGGCATAAGTCACTACCATCCTTTTATTACATAAAGATGGCTACAGAGTGGCTGATTAAGCAGTGCAGCATGATGTGAAGCTTGCTT